GTTTAGGGTTTAGGGTAGAGTCTAGGGTTTAGGACTCGAAATAACTAGAGACCAGAAGTGGCTTGGGGTTCACGGCTTCGGGCTCACAACCGTCAGTAGGCGCAAGGACTGGCGACAAGCTGGGCTTCAGACCAGAGGAAGTCTGGCGAGCACTTCCTGTTCGATGCCATCCTCATCGCTTGTTACAGAAATCGGAGCCATTAGTATATGTATATGTATATATATATATATGTGTGTGTATGTATATATATATATATCATATATATATAGAGAGAGAGAGAGAGAGAGAGAGAGAGAGAGAGAGAGAGAGAGAGAGTCCCTCACCAGCATCCAAGGGCTTCTCAGGGCTCAGCCGGCACGGAGAGCTCCTCCACGCCTAGCAGCTCCTTGCAGCTTCGAGCGAGCAGGCAACAAGAAAGAGCACTTTCGATTCCGACCCATCAGCAGCAGCAGCAGCAGCAGCATCATCATCATCATCCTCCCAGTCATCGTCATCAACAACATCAACATCATGATTATCAGGATTGTCATCATAATCATCATCCCATCGACAGGAGGTTGGACGTCTGCATCTGCGGGGAACACGCATCAGAAGGGTTCCATGATCATGTTCTTTGCCTCAAGTTGCAGGGCTTAGGATGCAGGCTTGGGAGCTCAAACACAGCGTTTACGAAGCAATGTGTGCTCTTTGTTGAACGTGTTTGATGTAGGGGCCTCAGCAGTTAGAATAGGGTTTTGGGCTTTTTTCGAGTATAGCTATAATAAGGAACCCTAAGGAATAATATTGGTAATTATTTAGGCTTCTACAAACCCTAAACCCCTAAACCCTAGACCCCTAAACTCTAAACTGAACCCTAAACCCCCAAACCCTAAACCCAGAACCCCGAACCCGTTTTCCAGCTTGGTTTTTTTGCTTCGAGTTTGGGTTTAAAGTTGGGAGTCCGAGGATTTCGGGTTTAGGATTTAGAGTTTAGGGTTTAGGATTTAGGGTTTAGGATTTTAGGGTTTAGGATTTTAGGGTTTAGGAAGTTAAGGGTTTAGGGTACCATAAACCTTGGCAGCTTTGGGGGCTCCTGACACCGTGCCCGCAAGTCGCGCTCCAGGCAGCGGAGGGCGCGTTCAGCAGCCAACTGGGGCGCAGCGAGCTCTACTGTGCTAGGGGTTCTACAATCGGGCTCTATGATAGGATTCCTGTAAGGGTTGTTTTCAGGTTCTGGAATAGATGTAGGGTTTAGGGTTTAGGGTGCATATGAGAGCTCTACTGTAAGATGTGCTTCTCCTACTCTTACCATATGTTAGGGGTTCTACAGTAGGGCTCTGTGATAGGATTCCTGAAAGGGTGCTATAATAAGGTTCTGGAATAGGGTTCCTTCCAAGGGTTCTACAATAGGGTTCCTTTAGGGGTGAGATCCTGACTGTTCGGCTTTGCTTGTTCAAAGCGCGTCCGCCTTTCCAGATGGTTGCGACTGAAACTCACCGAAAGCATGGATCCCCCATGTGCAACCAAATAGTAACAGGGTTTAGGGTTCAGGGTTTAGGGTTCAGGGTTTAGGGTTCAGGGTTCAGGGTAGTAATGAGCACAAACCGACTTGCTCCTGGGGCTTTTGCGCTGGCTCCCAGCATCTAAGCAGAGCCACAAGCAGCAACTTGCAGGAGGCACATGCCAAGGCAGGTGCAATACGCTCAGTTGCCCCGCGTCTTGCTGGTGCCAAGTCCTATCAGGTCTGCGTCTCAGCGATTCTTGCATACAGATGCATACATGCATACATACATACATACATACATGGATGGATGGCAGGGGTCAAAGCTCCCTTGAGAACATGTATCGATGTCCCAGGCCTCAATAGTTCGTCGCAACATCTCCGCCCTTTCCCCTGCGCTCATCGCTGCTGCAACCACGGCATCCGTCTGAACACCTTGAAGCTGCGAATAGGCTTGGGGATCCGTATTGAAGGGCTCCTTAACTACATGTAACTGTAGGGGTCCCCATTGGTGAACACTGGCCTTGACGCCCCGCTGGACCTCTTGCCTCTGTAAACGGCTCGGCCGCACAAAGCTGCAGGTGTTTCTCAGCGTCGCGCGGATTGAGGACGTCTCGCATCGACAATTACTGCATGTTGTGAGCGTATGTTAACACGAGGGGCCACGGCGACTCGATAAAGAGTCCACCATCTGCCAGTCTCAGCTTTGCTGGACAGATTCGCGGGGGACACCCCAACCTCCCGGCTCACAGCTGCCCCTAATTAAAGTGCAAGGTCTCACATACAGACAGATCGGACTGACCTGTTGTGCAACTGCACTGGCCATCACGAAGACAACGTGGATGCTCCACATGCCCTGACATGCAAGTTGCCACAAAACGCATTTCCAGGCAGGTCCCCTGCGCAACCCTGGTTCGGTGTGGAGGGAGCTGGATGCTGGAAGAGGATGAGAATATGAGCAGGACGGGTATGATGATCAACACCACGACGACAGCGATGACGACGACGACCACCACAACGAACACGACGACTATCAGGACTACGAGTACGACGACCACGACGGATGATGACCGCAAAAATGAAATTGAATGAGAATGGTGTCGAGATGATGATGATGATGATGATGATCACCACCTTCATCGCCGGCATGAGGGCGGCAGGCCATGGACATCAAGAACCTGAACTGACCTGAACCCAACAATGTCCATGCCTGGTGCCAGCTCACCTTCAGGAACCATCTTCAAGCTCCAAGTTCAGTGGCATGTCGGGGCAACTCTCCCCGTGAGACATCAACCTGCAGCCACAGCTGAGGTCTAGGGTTTAGGGTGGCATGTTTTCTGGGGGTTGTGCCGAGACCAGGGGGAAGTATAGCAGAAGAAGTTGTTGTAATAGCTCGAAAGCACCGCAAATACCGAGGATTTTGCACTGAGGCAACAGACTTACATTTTCCGGAACATGTTTGTCTACGTGAGTTATGGCTTGGGAGTACGCACACGCAGATGTTGCAAATTAGGACGACGAAAACATGCAAAACTCGAGGTTTTGTCTTGTTCGAGCGCGGAGTACTACTTGAAAACATGAGGAAACCCCAGTGTTTCATGGTGAAATTGCAACAGGGGAGCGTATTCACTGGTTTCGCACACCTCGATCAAACACAGAATCCCGATAGTCGCGGGTTTTTGTTGTGGTTCGTTTCGGAGTTCTGGGTTTCTGGTGTTAGGGACGGTTAAACAACGGAAACAAAGCATGCACAAACTCGGGGTTTAGTCTTGTGCGAGTGCGGAGTAGTACTTCAGTACATCACGAAAACCCTGTGTTTCATGCAGGATTCGCAGCAGGGAGGCCAGTTAGATGGTATTTGCGGCACTTCGCGCACCTCGATTAAATCTCTGAATCCCAACAGTCTTGGTATGTCTTGGCGATCAACATCAGCATCATCATCATGTCCTGAACACAAAGTAGTTCCGGGAAACCCCCAGGGACAAACCTTTAGGGTTTCGGGTTAGGGTTTAGGGGTTGATGTTGGATACATCTAAGGCCTTAAGGCTTGAGAGTTTCCCAAACTGGAACAGCTCCCCATGGCGCTTGGAGGATCCCATAGCTTCTGCCAGAAAGGTCGCTTCGCCTTGGGAGATCCGGCCGCAGTCTTAAGATCTTTGGACACCTGCGGCATGTCGATGTCCTGCCGGCTTCAGAACATCTGAAGAGCATCAGGGGTGGATGCAATCTCGCCTCGGTCGACTCGGCTGCAATCTTCGCCTCGCCAGAGACCTGCTCCATCTCGACATCCTGCCAAAGGCTGCACGGAACCGTGAACTGATATATACATCCACTCACTCACACTCAAAGGCACCCTAAACCCTAACCCTAAACCCTACACCCTGACAGCGCCTGTGCAGTCGAATGGGCGTCTGGGGCCGGATTGCTCAGTCTCTCCACCGCAGCCATTGCGGTGGAGACCTTCCTGGCCCTGTCTTGTGCAAGGACCTTGGCCCAAGCACAAAGCAAAGCAAAGCAAAGCAAAACTCACTCGTGTGTGTGAATACATGTATACATCACTGCTTCCATTTCTATATCCTTCTCTATATATATATATACACATATATATATATACACATATATATATATACATATACAACCATATATATATACACACATATGCATGCTTATGTGTATATATATATATACACACACACGAATGTCTGCTCAGCTCTTGCAACGCGCCTGATGGACCAAGAAGTTGCTCCTCTCAGCCTCAGACGTGCTAATCGGGTTCCAAACCCTAAGCCCCTAAACCCTAAACCCTGAACCCTTTCCCCCCAAACCCTAAGCCCTGAACCCTAAACCTTGAAACCTGAACACCCGTCCTAATTGAGGTAGCTGTGCGTCACTGCGATGCTTCGGGCACTGCCCCTACAATCTATGTCAGGGGTCATACTCAGAGTTTCGGGGTTTACGGTTTAGGGTATACGGTATAGGGTATAAAGAAGTATCTTACAGTATGTATGTATGTATGTATGTATGTATGTATATATATATATATTAATTTATTAATTTAGTAATTAATTAATTAATTAATTGATTAATTAATTAATT